CTATTTCTGCTCCTCCCTGGTCTCACGCATCCGGGCAGAGTTCCTTTGGGCAGCACCCGCTGGCACCCTAAACAGGTCTGAGGCACAGTGGGCACTGTCCAGGGTTTTCTGCTTGGTGTCCCCCTCTAGGGCCCTAGTTCTGAACCTGTGATCATCACTCCTGACCCTGTCATTCCTTAGTTGCCCCCATCTTCATTTGGTTCCCGGGGCCAGAGGTCCCCCCGCAAGGCTGTGGATGACATCTGAGAGCCTTAGCTCTGCCGGAGGCCCATGGTCCCTTCCAGCCCCAAGTGGAACTTGTGGGGTGTGCAGCGCCCGGCCCACTGAGGCTATGGGCAGGCCCGCGCCAGGCCTCCCCCGAGGCGGCTCCTGGGCTCGCTGGCACTGGGCTGGGGGCTGCAGCGGCCGCGCTGGGCAGCGGGGTCAGGGAGCCCCCCAACCCCCCTGCCGAGGAGCCAGACTTACTCCCAGCAGGGGGCCTCTTCCCAGCACTGTCTGGCCGGGCTGCAGCGCCACCGGGCAGCCCCCGTCCGCGGGCGCTAGCTCGAACCCCGGCATGGGCGTCGGTGGGGGGTTCTCCGCCTGCGGACAGGGAGCAGGCCCCGCTGTCCCCTCCGGAAACTCGCACCACGCAGGGAGGTTCGTCTCCCTTCCGTTTCCCTCCGTGCTAGGAGGCGGGGCAGGCGACCGCTGTTTGTGTTTAAATCCCCGCACCACCGCCCACGGCTTGGCCGGCCATCCCGGAAACGGTAGTTTCCAACTCACACCCTCCCCGCCCGGCCGCGCTTGAGCGTTGCCGCGGGGAAACTACAAATCCCGGCGTGCCCCGCCTCAACAGCCCCCGCCGCATGCGCATTGCCTCGGGAAGCCAGTGGGCGGCGGTGTAAACAAACAAGTTCGAATGGGGGAGACGTTTAAACCGTCACCTGGGGGCAGCAGCGCGGGGCCAGGTAGGGGGCGGCCTGCGGGGCTGGAATTTCCCTCCACCCGCCTTCGCCGCGGGCGGCTGGGGGATGAGAGCGGGCTCCAGCCACGGCTTGGCCAGGCGAGCTCCGAGGCGGGGCCGGGCTCGGCAGCGGGCAAAGGGCGCCTGATGGTTGAGCAGAGGCAGGGCACCGTCTGTCTCTTGCCTACTGGGCACAGGGCACCGTCTATCTCTTGCCTAACGCCTGGAGGCTGGGCTAGCCTAGCCTTAGCACTTTGCACAGCCAGGGTGCGAGGCATAGCACGCTGTTTAATACATGAGGCACTTTAACATAACCTTCACAATTAGAGTTAACTTGGTGAAAGTTAACTCCATGTATTCTGTAATTGAGATCAGTGACCAGGGCATGCCACCAGCTACATGTGAGGCTGTTTAGTGACCACTGTACTTCCTCACCCCCAGGGTTACTCATGGTGGATGTACTGAGGCATTAAATTATGCAGAAAGCCTCAAAGAAGAACAAACAGGCACTTGCTTCGTATAAAGATCTGACCGTCCTTCCTCCAGCCAAGAAAAAAGAGGAAAATCGGGAGGACTTTGTAGAGCTGCTGCCTCCAGAAGTCAGTTTTAAAATTTTCAGTGAACTGGATATTCAGAGCTTATGCAAAGCTGCAGTGACATGCAAGAGCTGGAATCGTGCAATTGAGAACAGTGACCATTTGTGGAAACATCACTGTTTAACTGTAAGAGCTGTCTGTCAGCGAGAGATAGACTGTGATCGAGGAAATGGATATTCGTGGAAGGTAAATTTAAGAACATGGACTGTCTAGCTTTGGGAAACTGGGTAGCTTTCAGGATGAGTATTAAGATATGTGAGGTTCTCTCCTGATCAGTATTTCTGATCCATCCAAGGTCAAGAGCAATTCAAAGTTGTTACCATCTAATAGCTGCAGCCTGTGAGATCTCAGGGCTTGTTTACACTACAAAATTAAGATGACTTAAGTCGAAGTACAGCCTCCACAGTAATTAAAAGCAGTAGTTCACAGCCACACTTACTCCTTCAGTCGGCAGTGCACGTCCTCACCAGGAGTGCTTCCACCAACTGAAGTGGGGCATTATAGGACACAGATCTGGAGCCTATCAGCCCAAGCTGTCAGTGGGGTGCAGGGCTAACCCAGCTGTCAGTGCCAGGGCATGGGGGCCCCAGCTGCGAGCAAGCACCCACAACTGACAGCTCAGGCTATCCCCACCAGAGAGTAGAAGGACTCCAGCTGACAGCCCCCACTTGGGGCTGACAGCCAACAGGCTATGTCAGTTAATCACTGTCTAACTGCATCAACATAAGCGCTACACCTCTCATGGAGATGGAGTTATGTCAGCGTAGCAGGTGACTTCCTTCATCAGAAGCCGCATTCTAATGTAGACTGACATAATTAGGTCATAATACGCCACCTTGCATCAACCTAACTCTGTAGTGTAGACCAGACCATAGTGAAATAGTATCACGAACACCATCACAACTGGCAGTCTGTGCAGAGATGCCAAAAAATAAGAGTACCATAGAGACAGTGAACTTACCTGGTCCCTGAGAAATGATCAGTCCAGCTCTGGAATGGAACACATTGCGAAAGGGACACAGTTTTACATACATGTTCCCCGTAATTTTACTTCAGTGGAATACTCCTGCTGGGAGAAAAGGGGTTCCTGGAATCTGCTGATCTAGAGAAGTTTTTGCCCCTACACACCTCTTAAACCAGATACAGCTAGGGGTCAAAGAACCAGCTGCTTTAGAACCCCCTTACCCAGCACCATTGCAGCTGCTACTCAAAACAGTGAGGAGGAGTTGAACATGTTGAGTGAAATCCTATTGAGGAATGGAGAAAGCATGAACTCTGGCAACTTAAGTGTTAAAATATAATTAGGAAGGCCAAAAAAAATTTGAAGAACAGCCAGCGAAAGACTCAGAGTAATAACAAAAACATTTTTAAGTACATCAGAAGCAGGAAGCCTGCTAAACAACCAGTGGGGCCAGATTCCCAAACCTGAGCCATTCTTTTTAGGTGACAAATCTGAGGAATGTCTCAGACTGAGGTGTCATTAGAGGAGGTTTTGGAACAAATTAATAAACAGTAATAAGTCACCAGGACCAGAGGTATTCACCCAAGAGTTCAGAAGGAACTAAAATATGAAGTTACAGAACTACTAAACTTATCATTTAAATCAGCTTCTGTACCAGATGACTGGAGGACAGCTAATGTGATCCTAATTTTTGAAAAAGGGCTCCAGAGGCAATCCTGGTGATTAAGGGTCAGTAAACCTAACTTCAGTACCAGGCAAATTGGTTGAAACTATCGTAAAGAAAAGAATGATCAGACACATGATTTGTGGAGGAAGGGTCTACAAAAAGTATTAAGGGAAATCATGCCTCAGCAATCTACTAGAATTCTTTGAGGCCATCAACAAGCATGTGGACAAAGGTGATCCAGTGGATATAGTGTACTGAGATCTTCTGAAAGTCTTTGACAAGGTTTCAGAGTAGCAGCCGTGTTAGTCTGTATCCGCAAAAAGAACAGGAGTACTTGTGGCACCTTAGAGACTAACAAATTATTAGTAGCATAGAAGTAGGGCGTGTAGTCCACG